GAGACTCTCACTCTCTCTTCCTCTTCGCTATCCGGAACAAGGGGCAGTCAAGCCCACAGGCCAAAGGCCGCTGGTTTTGTTGAGCCTTTAGGGAGGACTAAAACAGAAACATCGCCTCACACATGTTCGGGTCAGTACCTTCGAAGTTACAAGTGGTTCATGCAGAGAGGACTGACATCAGCTTCCGAATACCATCTCGAGGTCAACGTAATTTTCGGACAAAGCATCTCGAAGTAACCGACGAACTCGAGATTGGCGGCATCTTGTGGGCACATCGCAACATGTCGCAACTCAGGCCAAGGCCAAAACTGTGAAAGGACGAGGCAAATTAACGACAAATGCGTACAGCCATCCTCCGGTTCTTGACACACGTTGGACTCGCAATGACTCGCACAGACAGTAAACTTTCAGACACACTGCACTTACACCAGACCCTTAGGCCTGCAATCTCTCTTCTTCGTCTTCTGCACACATGAAAGGCCAGCACAAGCAGTGCTCATATCTTTATTTCACCAGGGTAAAGGAAGGGGTGGCGACCCCTCCCCGTGCTCCAGGGGCCCCCCATATGTTATGCGGACGTGTCTTTCCAAAACACTTCCATGGCAGATTCGCCACTTCTTCCATTAGGGAGCCAGGCCCCCTGACCACTTGGGCCCCCCTACGTTTGTGGGGCACCTACACGGACCGGGTTCCACTCCACTTTCTTTCGCCAGGGCTAGGGGAGAGAGGGGCAAGCCCCCCCACCCCCACGCGTTAGCGCCCCCGACTGTTGCGGAGCGACTTATTCTTGTGGAGCACGCACTTTCCGCTCCACTCTTGCTTGCTTGCTTGCTTGCTAGGCGTTTGGAGCTAAAGGTTGCCCCCTAGACTCCTGCGCACAGGCGCTACGCCCCTGCTCGTGTCCAGTCTGCGTGAAACAAGGGGGGACTCGAAGGAGCTCAACACGGTGGCTTCACCTTCCATCCCCCCGCCCTACGCCTTGAGTCCACTCCACTCTCTCTCTCTCTCTCTCTCTCGCGCTTTCTTTACCGGGACAGGAGAGGGCGGCGGTCCAGCCGCCCTTCTGCACGCGCACGTGCACCCGCGGTTCACGGGAGTCTTGGTCTTCCAAGGGGGCTGTGCCCTATGAAAGTTCGGCTATACACGGATAAAATGCCAGCAGGGTCTCACAGAAAAGAGTAAGCAATCCCCCACATCAAGCTAGGGCTTGCTTTCCTCACAGCGCTCACTGCTTTGCGAAACTCAGCTGCCTGTTGTTCCCCTCCTCCATCGTGCCATGTAGTCTTGCACTTGTTGCAATTGCCAGCTGAGGTTGGGAAGCAGGCGCATGTTCACTAAGTCATCCGCGCCTTCTTCGTCCCCCAACGGCTCTCCCTGTGCTGAGTGGAAGGGCTCGGACTTGACTTGTTCACGCCTGGCTCTCTGCGGGCCTTCCCCTGCCATGTCGTAGGGCTCGGACTTGACTTGTTCACGTTTGGCTCTCTTCCCCCCGTCCTTCTGCGGTTGAGGTAATCGACCGTTCGCGGCGCTTTTGTTTGCTTTTCCCCCGCCGGCTTGCACGGATGTAGTTTGAAGATCCCTAGGTCGCCGTCCTTGCCACAGTCACGAACTCTGAGTCGGCAAAGTCCCCCGTCCAGCCTCGTTGTAGGAGTTACGAAACGGATTCACCTCAAGTAGAAAGCGCTTGGAGTAGAAGTTCGTTCCTTTGAGGTCAAAGGCTGCAAAGGTGAAGATCTTGCAAGCACCAGGACACGCTCACGGCTATAGTTCTGCAAACTTGCCCTCGTAGGGTTTCCACTAGTGTCACTAGTTTTTTACTGGGGCCCTGATCTGACAAAGGCCGCGGATGGTTAGTCTCAAGCCACCTCCGCTGGAGCAAACGTCCACCCCCAGGCCTAGGGAGATAACCCTCCCCAAACCCGCGGGCCGTTGCTGAGCACGCCCCCAACAGAGAGCGCGGCAGATGACTTGAGCCAAAACACACTCTCTCTCTCTCTCTCTCTCTCTCTGCAGGGCATGGGGAAGGAAGTGGTCCAGCTACCCCCCCGTGCGCGCACACACACCCGCAGTTCATTGGCGGGACGGAACCTTTCCGGGGCAATGGATTTCCGGAGCTCCACTATACTGTGAGGCAATGGCCGAGTGGTAAAGTGGTAAGGACGACTCCCCCGTCGAGGCAACACCATGCAGAAAGCTCCATCTCTCTCTCCATTCGTAGGGTCCACAATGCGAGGGAGTCTGCCAGATTGGCGGTTTTCGCCTGTGCGCGGAAAACTCCCGCGTTAGTTAAAAAGACACGGTCGCCAATCTGCCTGAAGACTGGCCTCTATGCTGTGTGATTGGCCTTCAGACTAGGATCTACAGCACGGTCTCCCACTTACGTGAGCCGGTGTGGTATTGCGAGTCCAAAACGTAGGAGCAAGACACCAGGTGCACATGAACTTGCAACATGCTGCATGCTGGGCAGTACGTACACTCTTCAGTACCACACAGCAAGGTGGAGACGCCCCGACAAGCAAAAGCTTCAGGGACCCACATCTTTCGCTTTCGCAAGGGACAAGGGAGAAGGCCCCCCAAATATTATGGGGCCTGTCCGGATTCCGGCTGCCTTGCTTGATTGAAAAGGCAGAAACCAGAATAGCCCTCATGCAAATCACATACTCTCTCTCCTTCCACAGGTTGCTGGGAGCGTGTCAAGCCTCCCGGCCGCTTAGGCCCCCCCAGCCCCTGCAGCACCAAGCATCATGGGCATCAGCCAGCCCAGCGATGCAGCTGTCTGAAGGTAGGGCCAACCCTGCGCCGAGCAGCTTGAGCATCAGCCGCCCCAGTGTTGCAGCTGTCTGAGGGTACGGACAGCCCTCCACCGAGCATCATGAGGAGAGGGCAGGGCCGCTGCCCAGTGGTGCAGCTGTCTGAGGGTAGGGCCAACCCTGCGCCGAGCATCATGAGCATCAGCCACCCCAGTGTTGCTGTCTAGGGCAGGCCCTGCAGCACCGGGCATCAACCCCACCCCCGCCAGTGCGGGTGGGGTGTCTGCGGATCCTCCTATGGTACCCAACCCCTGCTCCGTCCAGAAAGCGGCAATCTGCGCAGTAGTTTCCGGCATCAGACATGAATTACAATGCTTAACTATGGAGGGTTGTATGGTGATGGTGATGGTGACAGCTGTTGTTTTGACGGTACTGATGAGGAAGATGACGACGACAATGATGATGTTCAGCCTGATGTCAAAGATGATCCTAATCCGATTGTCGACACGCGTCGCCGTCTAGAGCAGCACAACATCATGAGCAGTATCACCGGCAGCAGGCACAACTGCGAGCAAGGGGCGGGCAGTATCACCGGCAGCAGGCACAACTGCGAGCAAGGGGCGGGGCCACAGGCCCCACCCCACAGGTGGGCGGGGTGGGGGGGAGGGGGGAATACCATGGGATGGGGGGGGAGGAGGGGTGTGGCAGCCCTGCATCATATACTCATATATATATATATATATACATGTATATATATATATATACACATATATATATATACACATATATATATATATATGAGCGTTGA